CCCCCGGCGCGCCCGGCGGCATGCCGTCACTTCCCTGTGGTGTGCATGCGGCGCGTGAGCGCTTCGGGAGCCGCGCAGGCGTCCCCCGCCGGAGAGGTGAGTACCATTTGGCAACCCTAGCATTGCACGTCACTTTCACTTTGGTTGTTGGATTTTATGGCAGTGTCCACTGCATGCCGCTTTCACGTCCTTTTATCTCTCGGTTTTATGGTAGCCCCCTGTGTAGATTTATGGCCGTTTCTGCGTCTAGCATTCGCTCCGTTGTTTTACCAAACCTAGCTGCGCAGGAAAGGCAGGTTATAAATGGAAAATAATAAATACACAGAAAGATGCAGCTCCATTGAAAATAATAAATACACAGAAAAGATGCAGCTCCAAACCACATTCAGATACCTCCCCCCAACGCTGTACTGACTGCACAGTCACCCCTGGACGGCCATAAAACGGCCATAAATCTATGCGGACAGTTACCATAAAAACAGAGATCAAAGGAAGTGAAACCGGCATGCAGTGTGGAGGGTTCAAAAAAATTCCGACAATAAAGAAAGTGAAAGTGGCATGCCACGTAGAGGGGGTTTTCTGTTCCAACATGGGCTTGGTAAAACAGCGGAGCGAATGTTAGATGCAAAATGGGCCTTTGAATGTGGTTTTGAGCCACCTTTTTTTCTGTTCCAGTGTGAGTTTGGTAAGACAGCGGAGCACATGCTAGATGCAGGTCCACTGAATTCCCAGCTTTTTAAAAAGTAAGCCTGTAGCCCCTTTCCTTATGGAGATACAAGGGGAAAGGTACACCTCTTTAGCAAAAGGGACAAAAGGTGATTCCCCCCCCCCATTTTAAATCAAAGCTAGGCATACGGAGGACCCATTATGTGCATTGCTGTACACATGTGAAGCCGCCTTATATTGAGTCATACCATCATTCCCTCAGGAGGGGCTGTGGCTCAGTGGAAGAGCCTCTGCTTGGCATCCCAAAGGTCCCAGGTTCAATCCCCGGCAAGTCCAAGTAATAAATAATAATTATTGTAAGACATTGTGTGTGGTTCAGCTAGGAGATCCTAAGACTGCCCGGCAGCCTTATGTTCTAGCTCTTCTAGTGGCGAGCTAGACTTATTTGGGGGCTGAGAGCTCTGAAGGAGTTGTGACTGACCCAAGGTCACCCAGCTGGCGTCATGTGGAGGAGTACAGAATAGAACCTGGTTCTTCAGATTAGGGTCCATTGCTCTTAATCACTAGACCACGCTGGCTCCGTCATCTCCAAGTGAAAAGACCAGGAAGAAGGTGACGTGAAAAACCTCAGCCTGAGACCCTGAAGAACAAGCACTGTTAGGTCAGGCAGTTCTGCGGACATTACCTGAGGTGTATTTTTAGTACGTATGAAGAAAGGTTAAAGCGCTTAGGGCTCTTTAGCTTGGAGAAACGACGACAGAGGGGTGACCTGATCGAGGTTTACAAAATTATGCATGGGATACAGAAGGTGCAGAGAAAGAAGTGCTTTTCTCCCTTTCTTACGATACGAGAACTCGTGGGCACTCAATGAAATTAATGAGCAGTAGGCTTGGAACAGGTAAAAGGAAGGACTTCTTCGCCCAAAGAGGAATGGACATGTGGAATTCACTGCCGCAGGAAATGGTGGCGGCTACAAGCATAGAGAGCTTCAAGAGGGGATCGGAGAAATGAGTGGAGCAGAGGTCCATCAGTGGTTCTTAGCCACAAGGTATAGATAGGAACTCTCGGTCTGGGGGCAAGGGATGCTCTGTATTCTTGGTGCTTGGGGGGGGGCAACAGTGGGAGGGCTTCTGGTGTCCTGGCCCCACTGCTGGACCTCCTGGTGGCACCTGGTATTTTTGGCCACTGTGTGACACAGAGTGTTGGACTGGATGGGCCATTGGCCTGATCCAACACTGGATTCTCTTATGTTCTTATATGGAGCAGAAGTCCATCGGTAGCTATTAGCCACAAGGTATAGACAGGAACTCTCGGTCTGGGGGCAAGGGATGCTCTGTATTCTTGGTGCTTGGAGGGGGGGGGCAACAGTGGGAGGGTTTCTAGTGTCCGGGCCCCACTGCTGGACCTCCTGATGGCCCCTGGTCTTTTTGGCCACTGTGTGACACAGAGTGTTGGACTGGATGGGCCACTGGCCTGATTCAACACTGGATTCTCTTATGTTCTTATAAGAGGGAATTGGATAAGCATATGGAGCAAGAGGTCCATCAGTGGCTCTTAGCCACAAGATATAGATAGTAACACTTGGTCTGGGGCAGGTGATGCTCTGTATTCTTGGTGCTTGGGGGGGGAAACAGTGTCCTGGCCCCACTGGTGGACCTCCTGATGGCACCTGGTCTTTTTGGCCACTGTGTGACACAGAGTGTTGGACTGGATGGGCCACTGGCCTGATTCAACACTGGATTCTCTTATGTTCTTATAAGAGGGAATTGGATAAGCATATGGAGCAAGAGGTCCATCAGTGGCTCTTAGCCACAAG